TTGGAATTTGATGTGATATTATAGTTTAAGATTTTTTTTAACCTTTTACTGTGAGTTTACCAACTAAAAATTTCAAAGACAAATTATATAGGTTGTGGAGAGCTCCATCCTTTTGTTTCCTGGGTTAAGGGTGAAATAGAAAAAGGGGAAGGAGGGACTCTACCATAAAAGCTTAGAGCGAGTCTCTTCACAGATGCCTGTTGCATTCAGGCTAGAACTGCTAGAGAGTGAGTCTCTCTTGGTGTGGCCAGGGGAGCTGGCGTTGGCAGTTGGGTTTCTGTTAGTCCCCTGTCCGTGGCTGACGCTGGCTTGAAAGCTTTAATGGCCCCTCCAGAGGACTGCTGTTTGGGCTGTCCGAAAGTGACGCCAAGGCCGCTGTGTCCACCAACTGCCGAGCAGTGCTTCTACATGGAGGTGAGCAAGTTCTTCCAACAAAAACACCAAATGCTCATGTTAGGAGCCAGGCTTTTTTCTGTCCATCCAGACAATGGAGCCTGGTTTACTTTTACCATCCTGCTCTGCAGAGCTCCTTCAGGCTCGTCTTTGCTCAGCCTGTTTTAACTCTGCCCTTCACTTCAGGCTTTACTTTGTGTACTCTGTGGACTGAACATGGTCTGCGTCACTGAGTGCTGAACGTGTCTTCCAAGCTCTGCGTGTGTGTCCCTGTCTACCATTTTCCTCCCTCCTCTCCGGAGAGGCACGCTTCCCCTGCGGAAATCATTGTTTGCAAGAACTGAAATGTGAAAAATTGATGCTAAGCCATTTATTCGGAACACAAAAACAACAAATACATTTTAAAAACCCAACTAACAAACTCAAATAGTATCTTTTCACATTTATTACAACTCGTGATCCTTTTTCTCATTTGTTTTTGTTTACATGCTCAACTGTGTGCACACTATATATTTTTTACATATATCTACCTCTTCACCTTAATTCCACTACTTGAAGCCACTGAACTTCTTATTCATCAGATAAAAATTAAACTAGAAGTATTTGATATGCCAAGACTTCTGAGAATGAAAATGAGGTTTTATTAAAAGAAAAAAATTTAGAGGCACCTGAGTGGCTCAGTCGGTTAAAGTGTCCGTCCAACTCTTGATTTTGGCTCAGGTCTTGATCTCAGGGTCGTGGGATCGAGCCCCACGTCAGGCTTTGTGCTCAGCACGGAGTCAGCTTGTCCCTCTCCCTCTGCTTCTCCTGCACACACTTGCGCTCTCAAATAAATAAATAAAATCTTCAAAACATACTGTCTCGGTTCCTTCCCTTTTTAAAAAAAAGAAAAGAAAAAATTTACACTTTGGATCTGCTGTTTTATCTTTGTTCTCTCTGTGATTTTTAGCACTAGCAGTAGTGGTCACGAAGCAGTTTACTTGATATCACCTAGATGAATTTAAACTTCAGAATAGGGCTACATGTAGACTAGGTTATTTGGCATATGAATAGGTGAGTTATTGAGGCCTTGTGTATTGTGTCTAGATTTTAATGATCCTGTTCTCCACTTGGGAGAACTGATTCCTGTATTGACTTAACATAAATTAGATGATTTTGCTTCTGTTTTCAACATTTTTAGTTTGAGATAATTGTATTAGGTAGCCTAGACTCCATCACGTAAGCTCTGGGAATATTCAAATTAATTAGGACTTTATCAAGATTGTCTTGAAATTAGGAAATAGTTGGTTCATGCTTTGGTTGTTCTGCCATTATTTTTGTCTGTTTTAAATGAACATAAGGAGTCATCAAGATTTTGGATAACAATTGGTGTTCCAAAATAGACTAAAACAAGAAAGGGAAACTAATAAGAAAATATAATGGGAAAAAGATGAAGTTCTACATTGACTTCAAAAAACTCAGCTAGTCAATAGAGGGTATGTATAAAGCTAGGCTTTTATGGAAGCTGAACTAAAGGAAGCCTGTGGACTTTAGGTGGCATTACCTTCCCCCTAGTGTGACAGTCCTGGTTTATGGCTGCTGTCCCTGCAGAATTAACAGTACATCTGGAGGATGCATTACAGTTACCCTGCTTTTAGCTGACATTTGGCATCAATGTTAGACTGCGGTGTGGTGGGTTCCTAAGATTGTGAATTCAGCCACAGGTTACACTAGAAGAAATAAAAGAATCTGAAGCAAGGGGATTCAGAGTCTCACCATTACCCTCTGCGTTGATGAAGTCCCAGCTGGCGTGTGTATCATCCTGAGTGCCCCGTTCCAGAAGGACAGCAGTGCACGGGAGTACTACCAGTCTGGAAGCCTTATCGTGGAGTGGTTGAAAGCAGTGCTGGAATGGATACCTGGAAACGGAAGACTTAGGACACATAGTAGCTGCCATTCAACATGGGAAGGCTCGCTATAGGGAATCAGAATTAGGTGGGCCATTCAGGGTTCCAGAAACCAGTGACTAGCAATCTTAAGGAGGTTGTAGAGAAGGGACAGAGGAAGTTGGCATTTTAATGACCTTGAGAGAAGTTTGTCCCTTTGATAAGTTAAAACGCTTTAAATAACTGGCAAAGATTTAGTAGACTTGGTAAATTAATCCTGATAAATGAGAAGGCCATGCTTATGTAACTCTTCAGAATTGACTTTGCTTTTATTTGAAACAAATCCTAACTGAATTTATATTTATCAAAGTTCTTTTGATTCTCTCTCTCTCTCTCCTCCCCAGTCCTTATTTCATAAGGACTAAATTTGGATCTTTTCATGGCATTATGGCCCTTAAGCTACCCCTCCGGCCCCGTTTCCCCCTAAATTTTTCACACTTCTCCTTCACACCAGCTTAATGTCCCCTAAACATACCAGGTTCTTCTTACTTCTCTCTCCGTGCCTTGCAAAGGAATCCTCTCCTCTCTTTTCCTTTTCCTGTATTCCTAGTGTTAACTTTTGTTACGATACCTTCCTGATTCATCCAGGCGGAGTGTCTTCTTATGGGTGCCTCCATTCCCATTACATTTGCCCCTAACGTGCTTTTATTTCTGTGGTAGGCATCTCGGTGCCCTCTGTAGATGACACAATGCCTGGCCCAGTAGTACATTTTTAGCTGAAATTGGATAGATTTAAGTTGAACTGTGCTGCCAGCCTGACCTAACACCTAATAATTCCCATTCTTTATCCATTGTCACCAGTATATGAGAGATCGATAAATGTGTGAGTTTGATTTTCTTCGTTCACTCAGCAAGTATTTATTGAACACCTGTTAGATAACCAGGCATTGCTGGGTGTTGATAATACAATATGATTGATTCTTCAGAGGTACATAGATGACCTAGCGAGGGACCCAGATATGGTACATGCTGTAAAATGAAGTAAACATACGTCATCACCGTGGAAGCGATACAGTTGACTGTTGACCGGGCTGTCTTGATTCATCTGCCTTTCTACCATACATAAGACATCTGCTGCACCAAAGTCTGTGACTTGGGCCCTGGCTACATAAGATACATGGACAGACCATTCAAGAGAACCTGCCCTGCAGTTTTACCCTTGAGTAATCCCTTTAGAATGAATTAGATGTAAATGATACACTGATTACATGTATACGTTGGGGAGGAAAAGGTACTAACAATGAATGACATCAGTATCCATAGCAGTTCATTCTGGTTTTATCATGTACTAGTGTTGTAAGTCAAAGTAACATGGTGATACTTGTTAAACCACGTCTTTTTAAATCATGTCTTAATTTAAGGCCTATGGTTTCCCTGTTTGTTTTATAGAAACTAGAAAAACTGCTTTTGGAATTATTTCCACAGTGAAGAAACCTCGGCCATCAGAAGCAGATGATGATTCTCTTCCAGCTTGCAAGAAAGCCAAGTGTGAGGGCTGAAAAGAATCCCCAGTGTCTGCCTTCTTCCTTTTGATAGTCCGTCAGCCACAATAGAAGTTAAACCTTTATGATTTACTGTTTTCATTCGGAGCTAGAAATCATTAATCTATAAAAGCATTTTATATTCAAGCCTTTAAAGTAACAAAACCTAGTGAAGCAGTAAAAAAGAAGACGGCCCACTTAATGAATTTAGATATACTTTAAGAGAAAATCAAAGATGAGTTTATTCTTTGTGTTAAGTGATAAAATAGCCGGTATAATTGAATAAGATGTTTCCATATTTCAGGAGACTCTTTAAAAATGTTTCTTCTTCATTTAAAAATACATGCTTTTCGGGCACCTGGGTGGCTCATATGGTTAAGCGTCTGCCTTTGTCTCAGGTCATGATCCCAGGGTCCTGGGATCGAGCCCCGCATCGGGCTCCCTGCTCCTTGGGAGCCTGCTTCTCCCTCTGCTTCTCTCTCTCTCTCTCCCCCTCTCTCTCTCCCTCTGTCTCTTATGAATAAATAAATAAAATCTTTAAAAAAAATAAAAATACATGCTTTTCTGCTTTACTTGATATACATGGCTTATTTTTTAATCTTACTTTTCAAAAAGGGGTTCTTTTGAGGCCTATGAAGACATACTAAGGGGTTGGCTTTTAGTTGATTTGTTTTTGTTGTAAACCTCTCTCATTGTATTCATCAAGTCAGAGTTCTTTCTGAAAGGAACTGCTATAAAATTTGTGGAAGGAGAGAGAAAGTACGTGTAAAATTACACATGGCCTCTTTGTTTGCTGGTTCTTGCCTCCGTGATGTTCTTGAAATAGAATTCCCTCCTTTGAGGCGGAAGTCCCTGAAAACCTAATGTTGATTTTCCTAATAGCAGTATTAAAAATATCAAACCATTGTACTCAACCAACTTTGGAAATAATTTTTTTTTAAGTAGCAGAATCATTAAAATAAATGGAAGTAGCCTTTTTTGCGAATATCTGTATTCATGTTATGTTGATATAAAGAAAATAATTTCAGTGAGAAAAAGGACACCATTCTGAGAGAGAATCATATTTCTTAATTGTCATACTTACTAATCAAATGAGAAAAAGCATCATTTTAATGGATGTAAGACATTGGATAAAACTTAAAATCCACTCCTGGTTTTAAAAATGATAAAAACCCATAGCAAAACACAAGTAGAATATCACACACACACATATGTATGTCCATATATATATTTATATATTGTATGTATTGAGCATGATGGTTCTAAAAGCATTTTTGTCTGACTTGCACTTGAGCAATTTGATGGATTAGCCGCCTCCGTGCCTTCCGTAAAATGATGCCGCGGCCATTGAGCCCACACAGGAGTCCTCCACTTGCTTGAGCACCAGCTTGCTTCTGCCCTCACCCCACTTGGATTCACCAACAGTTAATGTGCGTTTATTCACCAGTCTGTTTATGCCATTGTAGTTAGCATTGTAAAGTTATATACGTTAACTAAATGTTATGAAAACTGTTGCACTATGAAGGACAAAAAAGGAATTCCCGGGAAATCCAAGTTCATGCTTTTGAAAGGCTTGAAAAAGATGAGCCATTAAAAACCTGTCACAGTAGGTGTGAACAGGACAACTAAGATTTGTGGGGGAGCCAGTAAAAATTCCACACCTTGGCTTGCTTTACTCAAGTCTTAAGTTCTCTTTCTTCTTTAAAGAGACTGGAACTCAAAGACAGCTGTAGATGTCCCATCAGAGGGTCCATACTCCCAAGAACAGATGCTGATCTTTAGATCAGCACAGGAGTGTGCATTTATACATTTTAAACTCAAAATATTTAAGGGGACGTAAATTAAACTTTTTTTGATGTCCGACCTTAGTCTGCTGTTTCAATCAACTGGTTATATTATGTGTATATTTGCCTCACTTGCACCGGATATAATATTGAGGACTTACGTTATATTAGGAAGTAAAGTTATTACAGATGTGTCTGTCCTCTTCAAAAAAGCAACTGGGAAAAGATTAGAAATACAGGCCCTCCTCCATATATGCACGTTTGCTACATATTTGCTGTTGTGCTTGCTTTCTGTTTATGAACAGGTGCTTATCCTGTTGTTCAGAATAAGTGGGTATGATGGCTGGTCCTCAATGAAGAGTGGCAGGTGGGTTTCCTTCTAATGTTTATCTTTGTTAGAACATGACGCATTACTCACTGCAACAAAATGACAGCACCTTAAAGAAAGTTCAGCAAGGTGGTCAGTTATAAACTAAAGACATAAAAGGTAATAGTTTGGTTAATAATTTGCTATAAAATGTCATTTTAAAAAAGTACTATTCACAAAGATATAAATTAAATACGTAGGTCCTCTATGAAGAAAACTCTTAAAGGGAAATTAAAGAAGATTGGAAGACACTCTGTTTTTTGGGTGAGACATTGTTCATCAAATTCTCCCCCAAATAACTTAAAATCGAAAACTATCTGCATATATTACTTTGTTTGTAGATATGTTTGGATTTGAATAGCTAGGAAATTTCATAGAAAAACAATGGGAGGGGCGCACCTGAGTGGCTCAGTCGGTTAAACGTCTGCCTTCGGCACAGATTGTGATCTCAGGGTCCTGGGATCGAGCCTTCGTCAGGGCTCCCTGTTCATCAGGGAGTCTGCTTCTCCTTCTCCCCTTCCCTGCTGCTCATGCCCTCTCTCTCTGCTCTCTCAAATAAATAAATACAATTCTTTAAAAAAAAAACCAATGGGAGCGACTTATACACCTGATATTCTAGAGTACAACAGGACTCTAGTAACTAAAACTGTAACTGTAACCAAGTAAGTGTGAAGACTAAAGACTGCATGTAAAAATCTGAACTTGCTGGTACTCAGTACTGTGACCTTGCACAAATCAGATAATCTCTCTCTGCCTCACTTTCTTCATCTCTTCTCCCTACCGATGGCAGTATTGCAAGGGTTAAGTGGATTCGTATTTGTAGAATGTTCAAAGGAGGGCAAGTCCTACAGAAGGTACCTACTAAGTATCAGCTACTGTTCTATCATTTAGGAAAAAAATAAGTCTAATCCTTATCTTCTACCCAACATACAGCACGCTAAATTCAAGTGGATTAAAGAACTAATTTTTTTAAATGTTTGTGAAATACTAGAGTAAGGGTAGGTAAATTTTTTGTCTAAAATAACACTGGGTTGGAACAAACCTAAGTGTGGTCATCAAAGCCAGAATAAATGAAAACTTGATTAATTTCCTCTTTAAATATAATGTTCTGTTAGAAAAGTACAACTAGGAAAGTACATTTGTAATGCATCAATAGAGCAGAGGAGTTTAGCATCCTTAGTAAAAGCTTAAAAAGAAATTGTTTTTTAAAAACATGCAATTTGAGAAGATGGTGGAGGAGTAGGAGACCTAGATTTCGTCTGGTCTCAGGAATTCAGCTGAATAGGGATCAAACCATTCTGAACACCTACGAACTCAACAGGAGATCGAACAGGAGAGTAGCAACAACTCT